GGGTCCGGGACGGGGACGGGGACGGGGACGGGGACCGGGACCGGACGGGCTCCCCTCTGCCGCGCTACCGATCCGGGACGGGTCCCCGCTGTCCCCACACCGGGACGGGATCCCCGCGAGACGCCCGCCCCGGTGCCGATCCGGGACGGGGCCCCCGCCATCCCTCTGCCCCGGTACCGGCCGGGACGAGCTCCCCGCTGCCTCCGCCACCCCCGCATCCCCCCGGTCCCGCACCCGCCTGGTCCCCCCGCAGCCCCGCCCCGCTCCCGGTGCCGCCGGTCCCGGGAACGGCTCCGTCCCGCCCGCAGGGCTTTCCCGGGGAACCCCTAATCCCCGGGGGCCCGACTCTGCTCCGGTTTAAGAGGATCGCTGGAGCTTACGGTAACGAGCCCGGAGAGCTGGGCAGCGGGCTCCATCCCGGGGATGGTGTGGGCTCCGGAGGGGTTCGCACTCCCGGGGGTCCGGGAAGGCCCCGAGGGACCGTTCAGCCAGCCTCATCCCGAAGACACGATTGTCCCCGGTGCCGCTCGTCCCCAACTCATCCGGGAGCGAGGAGGCGAGGACGGGACATCCGAAGCACCGTTCCCAGCGAGGGGAAACTGAGGCACGGGGCAGGATGGGATCAGCGGGGGCAGAACCCCGCTGCGTTCCCCGCGTATCATTTGGGTGACGGCCCACAGAGGGTTCCCACCGGATCCCAAACCCGGCGGGGGACGCGGGGGAGCTCCCCCAGGGCCGGCGGCGTGCCGGAGGCCGGGAGCGTGCCGGGCTTTTCCCGGAGCATCACCCTGTTGTGTCTTTCCTGCATCCTGTGAGAAAACAAACAAATCCCTGGCAGCGATGGCCCCAGCCGGGGCCCGGCCGCGGCTTTGCCTTCACCCAGCGGAAATCCACTTTTCCCATGTTTTGGCAATTGATTTTTTTTTTAGGGGGCTTCCCGTGGCCGGGGGCAAGTCCCCAGCCTCCCCGTGGCTCTGCCTTCGCCAGTCCCGGCCCCTCGGTAGCATTTTTGGTGCCAAAGTGCGCATGCGGCTCTTGGCTTATCTCTGGCATGCCCGTCCTGCACGCGCCGGCCGCTCTCGGGATGCTTTTACCAAGGCTCTCCTTTCCCGGGATGGGTTTTTCCCAGGATGGGTGTTTTCCCGGGATGGGTGCCTCCAGCTCCTCCACACCCACCGGTGGGGGTCCATCCAGGACCCCCGGCTCGGGCGCACGCTGTCCTGGCCTGAGCGGGTTTGCCGTGCAGATCCCGATGGCTCCAACCTTCCTTGCCGGAAACTCCCCCGAATTTCTCTCCCCCCGGCACAGCGGCCCCCCGGGGAGCCGCTCTCCCAG